TAACATCCATTCCTTGTCATCGCGAATTTTACGGCTTTCCAAATCGGCTACATCATTTAATGAGCCCTTGATATGGACAGCGGTAAGGAACACATTATAACGATAAGCCAAAAGCCAAATGTCTCTTGTTAATATTGGTTACAAATCACCGACTGAGTTGATCCAAAATGATTTATGCAGCTTCGGCCCTGGAATTATCAATGTGCAGTTTCAAATGCTTATCTCTAATTTCATTCTTGAAGGACTGGAGAGCTAAATAGACAGTAAACAGTTCTAAATAATTAATGTGAGGATAATTTGAGCTGTCTATCTGCGACCACGGTCCCCCAGTCCGTATATCACCCAGAACTGCACCCCAGCCAACAGTGAGAGAAGCATAAGTAAACATTTCCAGAGAGGGTGACTCTCTTCGAATAGGTGATTCCATACATTCTATGTTTTCATACCACCACTTCAGATCACTAACAGAACTATCAGATATGCACATGACCGCATCATAATTTTTTCCTTTATTTATTTTTAATGCTTGAATCTTTTCAATTTCGAGGCGCTTGCAATACAAGGATCCTAAGGGACAAGCAAGGACATTAGAATTTAACATGCCTAGCAATTCTGACACTTCTCGAATGGAATTTCTTCGTTCTCTCAAAATCGTATCTATTTTAACTTTGAGCTTCTCTATCCTTTTATGCGGAATCTTGATAGTCATATTTTCTGAACAGATGATAAATTCGAGAAAAGTAACAGTTCCTGCTGGGATCATGACAGATTTTTCCCGGTTGAACAAAACCTAAGTTTTCTAAGATTTCTACAGTGTCATTTATATTTTCCAAGCACATATCAAAAGACTCAGCTTGTACGTAGCAATCATCTATATACATCACTGATTGATGACCTCTTGAACGAAGATCAGACAAAATAGGTTTCAACAGTTTAGTGAAAACACGGGGTGCTGAACTTAACCCCATTGCTAAACAGGTGTATTCCCAAAGCTGCCCTTTCCAAATGAACCGCATGAATTTCCTATCTGCGTTGCAAATTGGAACAGTATAATAAGCGTCTTTTAAGTCAATCGTACCCATATAACAATTTGGGGTAACCATACAAAGTGCATTACTAAAACTTTCCATTTTAAAATGTTTATAAACAATAAATTCATTCAGTTCCTTCAAATTTAGAATCATTCTAAATGTTTTGTCAGCTTTAGGAGTAAGAAATACTGTTGAAATAAATTGCTCGTTACGGAAAACAGCTTCCCGAATTACACCTTTGTCCTTCAATTTTTGTATTTCACAGTCCAAATACATTGCCTGTGCACTATTCACAAATATTTCTCTAACAGAATTTTGTAAAGGCATCGATGAAAATTCTAATTTGTATCCAGACATAATATCTAAAATAACTTTGTCATTAGTTACATGCTTACAATTAGACAAAAAATGCTGTAATCTACCAGCAATTGGTAAGTCATTGGTGACTTCTGTGAAATTTCCACTAACCTGCTGATGACTGTCTTTGCTCAGGTTCCTTCGGTAGGGGCGGAAGGTTCCGCGAACATTCTTCTCCCCTCCTCTTTTCCTGGATCCAATCGTCCAGGAATTCCTTGAGCCTAAAAAAGGCTTCCGATTTCCATGAAAAAAGCCAGATTTTGTGCGATCTTCACTTATTTTCTTGCCGACTTTATTTGCTTCTTGAATGCTTTTAAGCTGATCAGTGATATTGTCACCGAATAAATTATCGGTGACGGCATTTTGTGATGAACACAAAGATCGGTATTCCACATTCAGAGATGGCTTAATGCAATTTTTGCGCACATGATTGATCTCATCATTAGCCATGGCTATCATAGATATAGGCTCCATGAGCCGATTAACGGTCTCATTTGTTCCAGCATTTTTAGTAGGAGAATTTTCAAAGTTATCTTGTTGTCCAATAGCATGAACATCAGCCTCTACATGAACTGGGGCGTCATTAGATTTGTTCAAGGTACTAATTCCAAACTCGTCAGAAAGTTTTTGTAACACTGACATTGTTTAGATATCCAAAATCAATTAATAATCACTTCCAATGAAAAAACAATTCTGCTCGATCTGGGAATAAACGCGCAACTGATCTGGGAGTAGGCTTGCATATCTCACGTGATACCCACGTGACTTGGTGGTGAAGGAGAATTCAGGCTTTCTGATATCATTGATAGCTGCTTTTTCAATAAAAATGGAACTCGTAAATTTACTTATCTTGTCATTGGTCATTTGCAACATTATTTTGTTTTAAAAAACCCATTCTGATAGTACACACAAGTACTCTTAAGCTGGCATCAAAAAGATGCTTGAGTTTCTAATTGACAATATCTTTGTGGTTTTTGGAGACCACGTCTTTCAACAATCTATTGGAATTCCCATGGGTACCAATGGTATTAAGCAGATTTATTTTTGTATTCATATGAAGCAAAATTTGTCCAAAATCTAAAAGTGAAAAGAAGAAAACACTTGATATGGCCTTCAACTCGACATTTACATATATGACGACGTATTGTCAATTAACAATGGTCATTTCCATTCTTATGTCAATGCGATAAATCCTGGTGAGCTTGAGATAAAAGTTACCACTGAATCTAACACATCTCTTTCATATTTGGATATTTTACCTGAAAAAGATGTTAATGTAAAAATCTTACAACCAAGCTCTAAGATAAACGTGATGACTTTAACATTTCAACCGTCAACTTCCTTACTTATACAGCAATATATCTTCATCATCTGCATACGGAGTTAATATTTCTGTTGATTCGATGCGCAAGAGCAAGTCCAACGTACGTTCAATTTCTATAACGATGGAAATTATTGACAAACAAGTAGATGAAACAAGAATATCAGCAGTCTCATCTAAAGCCATCATTTCGTAAGTTCTATGGTCTATACAATGACCTTGTCAGCTAATACAATTTATAATTGAGTCAAATGCTGACTGATGTTTTTATGTCCCCGGATCGAAAGATCCTGGGGGTATATTGTTTTTGCCATGTCTGCCTGCTTGTTTGTCTGTCTATTGTCAACTTTAACCTAGCCCATAACTATTGCGCTGTCAAGAGTAACTTCAGACTTAGTCCCACTTCAGAATTATGTTACCACGGGGCATAGAGTTTCATAAACACATCTTGTTCATACTCATTGTTAGGCCATATTTTTCACACTGATTTGACGACGGATTGTTTTCCCTTATTTCTTAATCATGACAAGGAACGCACGGCGGGTAGGACCGGTCGGCAGAGGATTCTCTCTCCAAATTGTACCTGATCCAAGAGCTGATGTTTTGGAGGTTTGTGTTGGTTCTACTCCTATTTTGTATTGTTTATGGACTTTTGAGCATGAATACTGTTCGTTATCTCCATATATTTCATTGTATTATTTGAAATGCAAGTGGTTAATCTAATTATTCTATTATTTTTACTACAGACAAGTTCATTTCTTCATTTAGCTGTTTTATGGATAAGATAAGGCAATAACAGAATGTATTACATAAGTGCACAAAGGTCCTCCTTCAGATTGTTTAAACGCGATTCAAATACTGTAGAAGTACTTTTTTCTGCGTGGTATTTATGTACGCTATGTACGCGATCACAATTTTCCGCGAAAATTTGTCCAAGCTTACTTAATATAAATGCAAGGCATATAGAGACAGTCTAAGAAATCCGCGTAATTTTCAACCCGCGGATTAAACGGAAATTGAGATTCCGCGGAATTATGACCTCGTGGAAAAAAGTACGTCTACAGTACCTTAATCTCCCTATGATTTAAATTGGTAAAAATTTCTGTACAAGGTTTTTGAAAATCCTCATATATTTAAATTGTATGTGAATTTTGGTTACGTTTAATGTAATTTTTAAATTAAATGTATCAAAATTTATTTAAATCTAACCAAATAAAGAATGATTTGGTGATTTTTTTTTCCGGATTAAAACGATACTGATGAAGAATCTTCACATTATATTGCTTGTTTGCATTTGTCCTTTCATTATGACGAAATATAAAGATGAGGAATAGTAATAAAGCACATAGGTCCATTGAAACAATACAATCTAGGAGCAGAACAAACTCGGGACTTCCTAAAAACGTCAGAGGTGGGTTCAAAAGCAATGGAGGAGTGAGCATCCCCTATCAATCGGTTACATCCTACGTATCTCTTCATCATGATATAGGAAACGGTAAACATAATTCCTTTATCTTTATTCCTTGAAAAAAAAACACTCCTTCGAAAAGTTTAAAACTGTGCTGATACAATTAAAGATCAGTACCATATAACTGAATTCGAACGCTTCATCTAGAATCCTCAATGAATCATATGTATATCTTATGTGATTGAACTTGGTAACAAATCAGAAAAAAACCTGGAAAACTATATTTCACATTTCATAACAATGTGGTTTATTAAGGGCCGCATGCTTATCGGTACAATATTCTTTAAATCCGATTGGTTGTAACATTAAGATGCCGGAAAACAAAATGCTGTTAAATAGGTAATTCGGTTTTTTCTGGGAGTGCAGAGGTGTCTGTGGCTTTATATAAGATTGAGTTCAGTGTAAGTGCAAGAGGAAAAGTCTTATATTCTCTTCAACATAAGTTAAAAAGTAAGACATATTCTTATGTATTATTTGATATTTCAAATATGATTAATTCATTTTCTCTTAATTTTTTTTTCTGGCTCGAAATATCTATTTTACTTTAAATTAAAATATCAACCAAATGTTGAAAATTAAAAAAACATCTCACCACATATAAAGCTAAACATGTAATCAACAAAATTTTTGTATTTCCTTTCCCTTCTGGGATGATGTCTCAAAAAGCTACATCATAATGATAAAGGTCCTTTGTTGTATGATTAACTTTCAAAGTTTAAGATTACCAGTATGTGAAATTATGTATTTTCGTTCTTAAATGACATTCGGCAAGGAATATTTAATTTAAGAGTTTTTAAATCTTTTTATCATTTACCAGTGAAGGTAGCACTAGGTGTGTTTATTTTACTGAGTGTTGCTGCGTGTGTGACCGCTGGGGGTTACGGTGGACACGGGATTGGTGGTCATTTAGGGTATGGGGGTTATCAACAGTACGTCCAGTACCAGAAACCAATCTACTACCAACAGCAGCCGGTGTATGCCGGTGGTTACGGATCAGACACTGGATCCATCATACCAATCATTATCATTTGTAAGCAATGTGATACTTGTACACTTTTAATCTGAGTTTATGAAAATGAAATCGTATAGCTTATACAATATTTCACTAATTTTGAAGTATTGAGTTGGAGTTGGTTTCTTTGCAGTTGTCTTACTTGCTATCTTTGCTCCACTGTTGATTGCTTCCTTGACGTTCAGCAATGATGCCTTTTATGATAGCGTCAGTAAATAAGAGGAATAAGGTTTGTTTGACCAACAATACTAACTTTTTAAGGTTAAATTTACATCCTTTCTAAACTGCATGACACCTTTCTTAATTTTTCAAATATATAAACCTTTAGTATACGTAGTGCTGATAAATTTTGGCTAGCATGGAGTAATTTTGTTTATTAAATATATGATGAACAACTGGACAGTATATGATCGAAAATATAATTTAGTCGCGAATTCCGCGAAGATTTATCTCATATGTTTCACATGGTCTGCAATTCCTGTAAGAAAGGTTAAAGACATATGAATTCTGTATAGCCAAAAATACACATTTTCCATTATTCTGTTATATTTGGAATAAAGGAACAACTTTTCCATTCAAACAAAGATTCAATGGCATTTTTTAAATTGATAAACAGAGTTGAGCTTTTTTTGATTTTATTTCAGATATATTGGGAAAGAGATACAAACTGAGTAAACATTGACGTACTCTATAAATAAACGACAGCAATCCTATTGTGTTTTCTTTATTCTGTGCTTTGACACAACATATATGGATCTAACAATTACTTCAAAGTGCATTCCTTATTTAATGTAGATTAATTTTTTTTATTCAAGATAGATTTCCTTGCAAGGTAGGCATTTTCAGAAACATCAGAAGTAAATAATTGTAAAAATAAGGCATGGATAGGAGTACGTAGTTCAATATTTTTTAAATGACAGGTCAGCTGTAGGGGATGCTCACTCCTCCATGTCACCTGATCCCACCTTTGATGTTTTGGAGGTCCGTGTTTGCTCTGCTCCTATTTTGTATTGTTTATGGACTTTTAATCTTGAATATTGTTCGCTATTTCCATGTGTTTCATTTATACATATATTGTTTTTGAAAATAATGCCTTTTTATACAAAATAATACTAGTATGCCCGCAAATACTAGAAGTGAAAGTAGAATGAGAGAATTCACACCTCTAGAAATAAACAAAAAATTATCTTGAGAAAAGAAGGTAGAAGAATGGCAATAGCAAATTATAGGAATCTTCCCAAAACAGAAAAGCAACCTAGAGCTCGAATTCGAATGTGTTAAATAGACTTCCATGACAACCCTTTCCCAAAGATATTAATATCTCTTATCTGTAGAGTAGCTGAACTCCAGGGAATGCAAAGAATACCTAAAATACATCACGAGGGAAACACAACCTTGCTTAAAAATACTTGAATAAATACTCAGCTGCTCCATTTTGTATAAAACTTGAACCTTCGGTTATGTAAATACATTCAAAGTATTTTTTCAAGCATGTCGGAAAGCTACGGGAAGAAGCGGTTGAGTAGAATGAGTGAATTACCAGGTAGAGTTTTACAAAGCTTATTAAATGGAAGAAAAATAATTTCGAAATAGGCTGTTCAAGATATTCTCCAAAATCTCAAGACGTTTCATTATTTTGTTGAAATACTTTTTTTTCAGGAAAAAGCATAATGTGTTTAAAGAAATAAAATATTTTGATTTTGAGTGGAATATTAACATTTCAAGCTATATTGAGTTTAAAATAGTCAAACAGATCTCAATATTATATAAAACAAATTTAAAAATCCAATTAACTAAAATTTTGGAAACAGGGGCATATGTCACTCTGAATTTACTCAGACGGAGAAATATAGGGAACATGAAATCAGAGTGATAGTAAATTTTGCAAAATTCGAATTCCACCCGGGTGTATTTTTACATTTTATATTTTACACTCATCATTTGATGAAATACTCTTTTTAATTAAATGCATATAGAGGATAAACATCTATTGTGGACAAAAAGCTTTTCATTGGTTACGTATTAATAGCAACAAACTTTTTCTCCCAACCACTTTCACTTTTCCATTTTACAAAAGAACTCCATTTAAACAATTTACAAATAAGGAGCAGAGCAGACACGGGCTTCCAAAGCATCAGAGTTGGGACCAGTTGTCCTGTAGGAGTTTGTATACCCTGTCAACCACTTAAGGGGGATGTACGGCCACCTTTAGTGCAGTGAACGCAAAATGTAAACATTTCTTCAAATGGCTAAAATACATTATATTTTGATCAAATTTTAAGTATTTTTGATAAAGATAAAATAAATATGCATAACCGAATGCATGTTGTGCATATATAATCTATACTTTTGCAGAAAAATGCTTTTGATATGCTCCTTAGAACTGCGCAGCTACAGAATTCAGCAGAGCCTTAAAAAATTCAAAAAAATATGCAAACTGTGCATTAATGTTCTCTCTACAACCATTTGTTGAGAAAATGTCTAAATTTTGCACTTTTAAATGATAATTTCAAGTTCAAAACAAGGTACCATTGTCTTCAAAAAGAGTGTAAAGAACCATGAAAGTAGTTCATGGATAGCAGCACGTGGTCTATTTTTAGCACAGAATCTTGTTTTCCAGACCTCTTCTTAATATGGAGGGCATAACAATCTTTAAATGTAGAAGAGAATTACAGTTGCAAAATATTTCAAATAATATGAACACTTTAAAAAGAGGAAAGGTGTTATAGTGTGGCTTGAAGTAATTTATTTAGTTTGAACATAATTTTTTTTCTATTTGCCCATATTTTTAAAATTACAATTGTACAAAGTAAAGAGAAAAAATCAACCTATAAACATCTTTAAAATGATGTTTGGTGGTCTTTCCAACTCAGTGAAAAATTATTGGGTCCGTATTTATAGGTGAGAAAAAAAAATCCTTAAAATTTAAACAGAATTGTACGGAAGCCCTGGAGGGACATTGACTTACTTGTTATGACTTATTTGTTATAACTTTTTTGTTTTGACTTATTTGTTTTGAGATTTTTTTTGTTACTTCTAACTAAGTGTATGTAAGCTATTGAGAACGATTAATTGTACTTTTGTAGTTAAAGGTACAAAACTGATGTGATTACTAAATTTTCATCTGTTAATTACGGACGCCCTTGAGAGATATTGACTTATTCCTTAAGTGTTTTGACTTATTTCTTATGTGTTATGACTTAGTTCTTATGTATTTTGACTTAGTTCTTATGAATTATATGAATTAACTTTGAATTCTTGTTATTTTGAATTTGTTATGACAAGTTTAGTTTACAAAAAGTGGTGTGAAAGATGAAGACAACGTAAAAGTTTCAGAAAAAAAGTCCTTGAATTAATTACTAACGACAAAATGAAATAGATAGTAGTGATTGTCAGTTTGTCAATCATCATGCAAACTGGAAGTTACATCTAAGAATTACTTAATAACTTTTAGAAAATAAGAATTAAGTTATAACAAGAATATTTACTTTAGAAATCACAACTGTACTGGACGTTAAACTACAATTTGTTAATCAAAAACCACAGTTAAAACAGGACTTAATATCATTTTTATCATAAAAGTAAGCCCAGCAACAGGTTTTCAATAGCTTTCTTACACTTAGTTATAACTAGCTACGAAACATTCACAATAAATAAGTCAAAACAAAAAAGTTATAACAAATAAGTCATAACAAGTAAGTCAATGTCCCTCCAGGGCTTCCGTAGAATTGTTTACGGAAGAAAAAGAAAAAAATAACGTGTAATGAAATGTTAAAAAAATGAGTCGGGCCATTTCTAGGCAGTAGATCGGGAGAGAGGGCAACCAAATATTTTTATAACAGGTGGTATTATAAGGCTAGTACATGTTCCATCACATACTTAGTAATGCAATTTTTTTTTATTTTTGACACTATTCTGAAAAACAAACAAAGGATTTTCGGGGGAGGGGGGGGGGGGTTAGCACTCACTTTTTTTGCGATGATAGACATAGCATATGCAATGGACCTTTCATTGCTAACATTGTGCTCGCTTCTAAATTTCATAGAAACAACTCATTATACTTTATCAAGTTTCGTATGTTCAATGAGCGAGAGCTTATACAACGTTGTCAACATAATGAGACATGATGCGTTTTTGTGTCCAAACATGACCCCATACAATGTGTGGGTCATTGCAAACATTCTAGCTATTTATGTGAGGTGCCTGAAGGAAATCCTATAAATGCCTATTTTTTCTATCTAACTTATAAACAAAATAGACATATGTACCAACTTTTCGAATGTAAGACATGTAATTACAATTTATTTTTCATGCACTGCGTATTGTTTAACATTTTCAAATTAAATGCTTAGCATCCTCCTTGCAGTGCCCCATTTGAAAATAACTTCTTTCGCCACAGAAAAAAGACCCACCGTAAACACATATGTTTAGGAGATTTTTATATTTTTTTCTTGAGTTTTAAAGAAACCAACAAATTATCAAGACTTGTTCCATGAAAAATTAAATATAATCATGGTAATAAACGGATTTATCCAAACCAGATATATGCACATGCCAACCATGTGCTTAGTGGAATAATTTTAGCGAGGAATTTCGAGTTGTAAACAGAAAAGTTTTTCCCGATTTGCTGGTTTGAGGTTAAAATCGCGTTTTTTCATTAATCAGACGATGTGATGCAACAAATAAAAGTAGTAAGTAATATAACCTAATGATTATTACTTAGTAATTTCTTGTCTTGGTGTTATTATGGTTGCATTTATTCTAAAATCATTGTTATTCGAACTCTGTGTGACAGAGGAATGGCGGACGAAATAAACACATGGCCTCAGGAAGACACCCATATGAAAAATCAAATTTTCAAGAATTATGGATAATGACAAGAAAAAAACGAAACAAATGGTTGTAGCCATATTATCAATGAATCAAACTAACTCCATTTTCAACGCATTTTTCATCTCATGAATGCTGTAGCTGCGCAGTTCTAACATGATTAATTTTCTTCTAATTAAGACAAAATAAACTTAATTGTTTACTAATTTTGGTCTCTAACAGTAGATAATTAGTGCATTAGCACTTTGAGTAACTTTGAGCTAGTTTAGTAGAGTATTAAGCGCATTCTTGGTATTTCTTAGTTTACACCAGACTAGATCCAATATGGCTTGTACATCCCCCTTAAACCTACCGAGTGCGTCTTGTCATGATCAATCCGTAAACAGTTAGGGTGTAAAGTTAACAATGCTCTAATAATCGGTTTGAAAAAATTTAGCTGAGCATTCGAGAAAATGATACGTTGTATTTGTTGAAAATATAATACATTTACACATGTACTATTATTTGTAAAGCTAACTTGATGGGTTTTTTTTTTTAGTTTTTGGGACTCTTATGCCTAAAGTCAAATTTAAGCCGATGGTCGGGCGACTAAATTTTTCTGGTCTTGTCGGCTGAAAGAACATGATCGACCGACATGAGAATCGGTCCACACGGAGCAGTCACATTAATTCCTAGAAACATCGATGACTTTGAAAAATAACAAAAAAAAAACTTTTTTCTTTAGAAATCAGCAATATTTTTCATAGATCTATATTCAGATAGGTGACGTGAGTAATGTTTGCAAGGCAAAGTGGCAGAATTTTGTAAGATTGTGACTCAATGTTGAAAATGTGTGCTAAATTTTGTATAGAATTACATTAATTAAAATGACAAATGACACATATCTAAGCAGCAGAGAATACTTAAGATTTCTTTATATCTTAGTATTCTTACGGATTAATTATTTAAGTTATTTCCGTTCAAAAAATGTATGTCAATCCATGCATCAAATGTTGTTTGTATTATGTATCCTTAATAGGTTAAATATTCACAATATCATGTTGTAAATTTTGAATTTATTAGGGGGAAGTAAATGCAAAATTTACAACGTAAATTTTGCATTTACCTCCCCCTAGTAAATTCAAAATTTACAACATGATAACAAGTCGACCAATCGTCGCCCGATCATCGAGCTCTGAGCTACAGTTTGATTTTAACCGTCGGCCGAAATTTTGGACACCCTTATTGTCAAACGACGGACGACCGACTTAATAAACTGACCGCCGATGGTCGGACGATGATCGAAGGTTGGTCGACGGATAACTTCAGTTGAAGAAACCGGCCACCGACGCAGAAAAAATTATAACTTGGACCGAAGGACACAAAATTGGTCGGCCGACAAAAAACGAGGCCAAAATCGGGCAAGACAACGGCCGATGAACTGCCGACTGTCACCCGAAGAATCCTATTTTTGCTTCAAAAACCGTCGGCCGTTGGTCGTTTTTGAAAATGTGACTGGGGTTTCACTATCCATAATACTTATTAAGCTATTTAAATTGCAAGCATCAAACCACTTACGAAGAACATATATACTCTTAAGTTAGACATGGGAAAAGTATTGATAACTAATTATACGAGGCAATTTTCCATATAAGATTTCCCTGTAACACAGTCTGAAAAAAGGCACCAAAACGCCTCTTGCGTAAGAAAGTAATTCAACGAAAAATAGCTGTCTCGCTATATAAACAGGGATTCGTCTTGATTAAAAATGTTATATTTTGCAATGTTCCATGGAAGAAGAGCAGTTTCTCGTCTGGTAGTGTGGACTCTAAACACAGTTCCATAAATCCTACGAATGGTAAATGGTAACAAAAAATTAATTCCTAAAGAATTTTACCAAATAAAAGCTTAATATGATCTCTGAATTTTAAAAAGAATACATTTATACATATATAATACCTGAATAAAGAAAACAGTGAATTCCTTAGCAATACGTTTTACTAAATTCATTCTCTAATTGGTTCATCGCTTGAGTGACAATATCCTACACTTCGCCTGATTGGAAGGACTGGTTCTCCACTAGTGCGTAGGGCACATTATGTAGATTAGAATGTAATTCGCTCCTTCTCAATAAAGCGTCATTGGCTGAGACTTTATAAGCCTGCATACAACTTATTCATACAGTGACGAGTCTCTCCTTTATCGCACCAGGGCGACATAAGTAAGGATTTTTGATTTCTTTATTTTTTTCTTTAAAACAAATAAATATTTCAATGTTTCCAAAACACAAAAAAGGTTTAATTACCATTTAATTTTCCCCCTAAAGTTTTGATTTGGTCTGTCGTCTTTTATTAAATGAATGTTGTTTACCTACTTATTTATTAATTTTATTGTTGCTCATTGTTATTTAATTATTAATTGCTTAATTCTTAGACATAAGAACAAGACTCATAAAAATAAAGAATTTCACCCCCCCCCCCAAAATCTAAAATTTTTGTTTGCTCGGTACATCATTTTACATTGTAATACATTTTAATTAGGATAGTTAATGAAAGTAATCCATAATTCCACAGTGAAGTTCACGCTAGCACTATCCGTTCTTCTTGGTGTCGTTGCCTGCATTTATGCTAAAGGCTATGGCGGCTTTGGTGCTGGTTATGGCGGCTATCAACAGTTTGCATACAGAGCACCACAAATGTACTACCAAGTCCGACAACAACCTGTTGTTTACGGACCAGCCTACGGCGGCGGTGGCTTGGGATCGGGAGGATCTAACTCCGGGAACCTGTTCGGAGGCGGCGGCTACGGCGCCGGAATAGGAGGAGGATCAAATCTGGGAGCCATTGTTCCAATCATTATCATCTGTGAGTATCATCCCGCATCTTTAAGGATTATTACGGATTATTTATTATTACTTCTAGCTTTTTTATTCATGTTTTCTTCTTCATCTCTTCATTAAATTGATAATATTCACAAAGATATTCTTCTTGCTTAATATGAATATAAAATAAATCTGATGAAGTATAAATTTACTTTCAGTTGTTTTGTTGGCTATTTTCGCCCCCTTGTTGATTGCTTCACTGGCTTCAAGTAACGAGGCTTTTTTTGACTCTGTTAGTAGATAAAGAATAAAAGGTTCGTAAAAAAATGTCTTAATATTTATGTTTATAGATTTTATGCAATAAAATGTCCATTTAGTTTATTATATTCAGTGCCATCTACGAAAGACTTTTTATTATTTTAAATGTCAAATATCAAGTTTAACTACGAAAGCCTATTAGGATCAATCTAAAGAGAAAAAAATTTTTAAAAGGCGTTATAACGCCTTTTGAAAAGGCGTAATAACGCGAAAAAAAGGCGTTATTATGCCTTTCCATTCCAAAAGACGTTATTACGCCTTTTTAAAGGGCATTATTACACCTTTTTAAAGGCGTTATTATGCCTTTCCAAAAGGTTTATTACGCTTTTTGAATAACCATTATTTTGCATTTAACAGGCCCGTGCTTTTAATAGCCCCACCCCCACCCCAACCTCCACTCTACTGGCCAAACTGGTGGGGGACTCCTCGGTAAAACTTTATCTAAATGCAATAATTTGCCACAGTTTTACATACTGCAACAAAATGTTCTGGAACCAATCAACCAATAGTTAATTATAATATTTAAACTGTAGCAAGACTTTTCCCCAAAAAGTGTGTATGTTTGGAGGGGGGTACCCCATCCGCACTCGTACTACTGCCCTACTTGAAAAGGAAAATGGAAAGGCGTTATTTTATGTTAATAGATGCATGAAAGATTTAATTAAAGCCATCTTTATTTGTGCAATTCTCTATATTCCTGCACATCTCACTGACAACTGATTTCATTCGTATTAAGAGAAGGCAACACTCTATTTGTGAAGATCTAGGATATATATATAGGCAGATGTATCTTGGAGCTTTGTTTGCCATGTATTAATATTCATGTCATTTGAAGATATTTTTCTCTCTTTTTTTAAAAAAGCAGGCAAACTATTTGCATGGGTAAAATGAGCAATTGAAATCAATGACCCTTGGTAGAGATGTGTCTGGTATTAAAGAAGGACTTATATGTAGTTGGTCCAACATTGACAATGTATGACGCATTTAAAAATCTCTTTTCCTGGAAATCTAATTGCTTTAGATCTGTTTAAATTATTTTTTGAGAAATTAGCCTATATCTAATTTTGAAATTCATGTCCCAAAGGTAAGATTTCTGCACCCCCTCCCCCTCGGTTGGGCTAAATATGTTTAGTCATGTATTGAAAATAAAAAACGTAATAATGCCTTTTGGAAATAACGCCTTTTAAAAAAGCGGAATAATGCTTTTTAAAAAGGCGTAATAACGCCTTTTGGAATGAAAAGGCGTAATAACGCCCTTTTCGCGTTATTATGCCTTTCCAAAAGCGTTATAACGCCTTTAAAAAAAATTTTCTATTTAGATTGATCCTTATAGGCTTTCGTAAAGAACGCCTTTTAAAAATTTTTTTTCTCTCTAGATGGATCCTTATAGGCTTTCGTATTTTACAACCTATATTTGCTTCAATTTTTTTTATGCCTCTTCAATAAATAAAAGAAACAGAAAAAATGAATCTTTCGCACTATTTCCTGGATGAATGATTGTCTTTGCTTAATTTGTTCTCTATCTCTGTAAAGACTAGTATCCCAGACAAAGATTCTCAACATTTAATCAAAAAATGAGATAATCACAAATTATTTATAATTTTTGATTGCATATAGTTTTCAATTCTAAATTTTCGTAGAATATTTATTGCATATATGATAATATATCATTTTATTTTCAGGAACAATAGGGAAAGGGTTTATGTTGACTGCCTGTATCAATTAAAGCAATTCACAATATTAAAGCCATTTTATCACTCTTTGACCTGTACAGTAATACTGCTTTGTTAGTTTATTTTTCATAAAAGAATATGAGTACATATGAGATTTCGACTGTTTTACACATTCTCTCACGACGTAAGCGTTACTATTTGTAACGAAAAATATGGAAACACATGCAGCTGTAAAATGTAAAAATACTGCAATACATTTTCATTTTGTCATTAAATACATTTTCGCAAAGGTATATTCCATTTTCATTACATTAGAGGGTCTATTATAAAATCGTTTTCAGAATTAAATTTAGTTATGACGTCATAATTCAAAAAAATAATTTCAATAATAAGATCGCCAAGCCAGTCTTTTACATACAAACAAAATTTCAAATGTTTTCATATCATAAAACATGTACAAGTAGGTATATATTTAGACGCTGATAACATTAGTACATGTATTACCTTCATTACAAAAAGCTATTTCTTTATTTTACCATATTTTAATTTAAAGATGTTTTTGTTCATTGCAATACCGGTACATAAAAACATCAAATTAATTACAAACGAAAATTAAAATGGATTTTTCTGGGCATTTTAACCAAATTTATACACTCTCTAAAATACAGTAAAATTAATATTGTATTTCCTTTTCTTTATATCATGGTGTTTTTCCTTTGAAATAAAGTGTACAATGACTATAGATACACCGATGGGTGGAGCCTACAAAAACTGTGTAACAAAATTATTGATTTGAACATATTTTACTGTAATACAATGTACATATACAAGGGTATTGGGTAGAAGTTCTTAAAACTTATTTCGCCCTCCCCCTTTCATGTAAAGTCTATAAAATTTCAAAATAATTTATCACCAAGGCATTGTCCTTTATCTAAATGAAACAGAATACTCCATAATAAATATGCAATAACTATTACATATCAACTAATCATCAATTTTAAGATACAAAAAAAAAATGAAAGTCCTAGATATATTGTATTGCATTGATTCAAACATATTGTACTGCATTGGTTCAAACATATTTTTTTATTCTAAGTCAACAGTCCATTTGCATTTTTAACAGATATTTCGCAAATGTTGTCCAAAGGTTTTAATTATTAACGAATTACTCGTATACATTGCCCAATGAATTACCGTTTAATACAACGTCTAATGAAGTATCCTTATGCTTCCATATCATATCCCCTGCTTGAAAAGTGGAAAGGGTATATAGTGATTGGGATGTCCGTGCATCTGAAGGTTTGTCCGCCTGTTAGGCTTTAGAGGTACCCATCTCATATCCTCAACTCCTCTTATACCACTGAATGAAATCAAATGAGACTTTCATAGAATCTTCTATTTTACTCTTTGATCACACATATATTTTGGGTTTTCCGGGCACTGCCATTGTGTCTTTAATAATGAAGGGTACCCATCTCTTATCCGCAACTCCTCCTATATCACTGGATAAAATTAAATACTTTCACAGATTCTGTAGTACACGAAGCCATTGCGCAATTTCTATTTTACTTTTTGATCACTTATTTAGGGTTTCTCATAGCAAAACATATGGAAGGCGGTGGAAGATCATTTGGTGAGCTCAGTGCTCACAGTACCTCCATCTTCGCTAGCCAAGGTTTTTCGATCCACTCCACTCCCCATTAACCAAAAAACACTTGGCTAGCGAAGATGCAACACTTCTAGGTTTCACTATAGTACTGCTGCATGGGCATATCAACACTGGTGAAGTAAATGCACTAATAATTAAATATAACATAAAATATATAATGACCATCGATTAAACTATGATTTTCAAATATCAACATAACTTCATATCTCTTTTAAATCAATCGAGGAGTATGCCACAATTCATTGAAAAAATTTTCTTCAATGAAAATGAAACTCATCAATCTTAAATTTTGAGATTGGTCGTCGACAAAAAAAGTTGTTAAATATATTATGATTCCACGCAGAAATACTCTGAAGTTGATTAAAAAAAGAAGTTGGGGTTCATGATTGCCTATGAATTTTATAGATCCATTTCTTCAATATGTTAGCATTTCATTGGCACCAAATACACCCTTTTTTCAATTATATAGGTCATTCTATTTTATTTTTAAATGGAGCAAATGCATGTCGTTCAACACTTAAATGTCATAAACAAAATGTAGATTTGGCTTTCAATTTGGCTACAAGATATATTCATCTCTATATTCTAACAATTAACAATGGTTATTATAATTTTAATATTGAAACAATATATCTCGCATCAACATATCAATGTATACCAATATATCGAGGGAACTCAAAATGAAAAACATCCAGGAGATCTGCACATTCATATTGAGATGATCCGTAAATGTTAAAGCAAAATCAATATTTTGCAAGCGGGATTTCTATAGTCTACATTCCTATTATAAATAGTAAAATTCTACTTTAACCTCGATATGGAGTTAATATAATATCACTACACTTATGCAATAACGAGCACTAATCGAGCGCAAAGATCCTGTAAAACATCAAAAATGTGAAGCAGAACAAACTTGGATCTGAACAACATATAATCAATTAATCAACACACCTGCACTTCTAGAATAATATAGCACAGTACTTCTTCAGTAGGGTGCTCTCTAACAGCAGTTAATATTTTGGTAAAGAGTAAAGATAACGGCTTGGTAGAGAATTTGCTGTCGAAAACTTGTCTGGTTTTAGAAATTGTTCATACAAAGAACATGCTTCTGAGTATCGAATGAACTGGGAGACGTATTTAATCCATATGCAGGTGATGATGGTATATTGCTACACAATTAAAGGAAGTTTGTAATTGAAAAGTCATAACCTTTATCAAAAAGTTTTGCTGTAAGTGTACCATTAACATTTTTTTCTAGCTAAATATGCAAATATGAAACAGATGTCTCAGATTTTTATTTGGTGTTTAAAGAGATATATCGAATCATTGTTAGAATGAAATGACACATATGGAGATAACGAACATTTCGTAAATTCTATGGTCGATACAATGATCTTGTCAGCAAATGCAATTTATCATTGAGTCAAATGCTGACTGACATTTTTCATACTAATTGTTAGTCCATTATTTAAACACTGAATTGACGACGGATTTTCCTGTTATTCCCCGATCACGACAAAGAGACATGGCGGGTTTGATCGGTCGGCAGGGGCTGCTCACTCCTCGTTGGCACCTGATCTCACCTCTGATGTTTTGGAGGTCCTATTTTGTATTCTTTTATGGACTTTAGATCTGGAATACTGTTCGTTATCTCCATATGTTTCATTGTACCTATCTTTAAATTAATTATACATATCTTCAAATGAATTATATATAACTGAACTCAATAATTCAATTGCATAATATTCAATATATATACAATTGAACCTATCATCAATTGAACTGAATTGAAGATAGGTAAAATTCCATTAAAGTTATGTGTAATTTATTGAAACCTAGGTTTAATTATTCATTGAAAAAAAATAATCAAGTAAGTTTCCAAAGTAAAAATGAGTAAAAAAAACACCACTACGCAGAAAAACCTGAAATCTTTTAATATTGGGATAAAATAGTATAAAAGAGGATTGAATTAAAGAAAGGTCTAATAAAGATAGGTATAAATAATTACACCTATTTCGAAACAGTTGTAATTATTTATACTTATCTTTCATTCATTTAGACCTATCTTTAATTCAATTGTATCTATCTCTAATTCATTTGAAGATAGGTCAATCGGAAACCCAAGCACCTTTTCAGATCAACTTTGAAGTACTTTATCAGGCGTGTACGGAATGAATGTAGGGTGAGGCCGGTCTCACCCTACATTCATTCCGTACACGCCTGATAAAGTAAAGAAAATAGGATACTAGTATATAGAAGTTTTTTTTATATCCACAAATGTCCTGTAGCATAAAATAAGATTCCTTTTCTAAACGATTACCCTTTATGTCAACCTAAACACATTCTGTTTTTGTATTTAGACATTTTAGTATTAAATTATTTAGAGAATCGCTTTGCTAACAGAACTGTCCTTGACCTTCGATCTGTTTTCTTTCATTTTCCCTTTTTTCCATATCATTGTGCAATTTAGGTGAGTTTTGCACAAAGACTACTATTCTTAAGGCATGTTTTATTCTCGAAAACGGTGCCCCCTTTCACCATTACTGTATCCCAATATTAAAATATTTCAGGGTTTTTGTACGTAGTGGTGTTTTTTCGCTTTATCTCAATTTTTACTTTGAAAACTTACTAGTACTTGATTTTTTTTTCATTTTGTTTTGTTTATTGATTCATTTTATTAATATTTTTATTATTTTTTGTTTCTATTTTGGTTTTTTGGAGACTATTTTGCTGTTTCAAAATTTGCCTTAGCATGTCCTTTAACAAAAATTATTTTTCTTATGTTATTTATGAATTGATAGTTTCCGGAACTTGATATAAAGATATATTTCAGAAAAGGAATAACTGTTTTCTATTTCAAAAGTAACAAATTTCATCTAGCCAAATTAAGGATTTGCTTGTGCGCTAACATTAAGTTTTTACCTCCTCTTGTACATGGAACCTCCTTCACGAATGGGAACTTCAGAAAAATTCTTTTGTCAATAAATAAGAAATCTTAAGTATAAAGTATATGGATTGTCTTCCTTCGAAGCAGGCTGTTGAGAAACACAACATATAAAAATATTTTTCATATAGTGGTTAGTAAAAGCTTTTTACTTACTTGATCAGTGTTGATAGAAAATTGCTGTCCTTGAAATTCTGAAAACGAACTATTGTTATACGGTGCATGCATTTGAAGATAAGTTTTAATATCCCATTCTCATGTCCAAGTTCCAGATGGGTGTCAGAAAAGGTAATTAAACAACATATATATATAATGTAATTGAATGTTTGCTTAGAAATTTTTTTAGGAATAGTTTTAAAAGTATACTTAACATTATTACGTATTCTTGATTTTTATAACATAAAAACTTTACAGAAACACACGAAAACGCTACAGAAAAATGGATAAAACAGACTTATGTCAAATAGTCATGTAAATGGTTGTCTATGTCAAATACTGAAAATAGGTCAGTAAACTACCCATAATATCATACACCTGAGAATTATGAATAAGAAAATGCTAGAAATAAACGATGTGTAGATTCATGAGGCAACGTGGCAGCCAATAACATTATTCTATAGAAGGAGTGCGTGACATTTTTTCATATTAATAAGATGCCCAAAGTCGTTTACATTATGTTTGTAAAAACGACACGGGAGTATTTACGCCAACAAGGACTACAGAGTTTACGACTGGTCGGTCACAAGTTGTCACTCCTCGCAGGATAGTCACAGAGGTTACTATATAACAAGCCGGAGATCTGCATTATCCCATTGAGGTGCATCTCCCCTGAACTTACTGCAGGCGCTAAAAAAGTGAGCTTGGATTGTTCCCTTTGAATTAGAATCTACAATATATTTGTCTCTTTTTAAACGTTCGACGAAATTGATGTTAAAAGATAAAATCTAACGTAATACATGCACTGTAGAATTCAAAAATCAGTGCAAAAGTCAAATGTTTAGTTACATTCTTTGCTAGATCAAACATAACCTGAAAGATTTTCATGAAATGTGCCTAAAACTCACCGTTAAGTTATTTTACAGTGAAGGCAGTACTTTCCTTGTTGGCTGTACTGGGTGCAGTTGTCTGTGTTTATGCTGGAAGTTATGGAGGAGGATATGGTGGCAAATCAGTATACCCCCAAGTTCAACAGTATGCCTACCAACAAACATATAGACCAGCCACCACCCAGTACGCCCAATACTACGCTAAACCAACTTATGCCAAATTACAATACGTTCAGCCATCATACGTTGCCGTTGGCGGTGGTCCAAGTGTCGGATTTGGAGGCGGAAGTGGAAATCTTCTTGGCGGATCTGGTGGCTCCATTATCCCAATCATTATTATCTGTAAGTCAAATTTCTCTTTTAAAAATTCTGATTATAAGTGACGTCTTCAAGATGTTTTGATCCTTGATATCCTCCTATAAGAGACTAATCCATAAAGCTTTAAAAAGGGAAAAGAAAAAAAAGAAAAGAAAAGTACGATTCCGATTACAGATATAAGAAATTACCAAATATTCATTTTTAGTCGTATTGTTGGCCATCTTTGCTCCATTACTGATTGCCTCCCTTACGTCGAGTAACGAGGCTTTCTTCGACTCTGTTGGTAGTTAAAAAGTAGCAGGTAAGGCAATTATATTAATTAAATCAATTTTCATGATGCATGGTGATTTGCGTGAAAAAAAATTGATCGAAAAATTTACAACCAAAACCTTGCCGAATGTTTTATATAAGTAAGATAACAATTATGATTGCAAAAAGATATTGCATCATTTATTTAAATAAAAAGTATATGACGAATAAAAAGGATTTATATATTATACTGATTCAAATGAAAATTTTATTTTTCAGGAAGAATAGGAAAGGGGGAAATTCATTTTTTATACTGACTGTCTGTATCACATATTATGTTACAAATAAAATTTTAGCATTCGCCAGTCTGTTTTATATTATTTACTCTCAGTGTACACTCTTTCACTTGAAAACGTGTACTGTAAAACTGAAAAGACGTCGCAAACTGTAGATATCAATATTTCCTGTACATTTTATCCAGTGTCGATAATCTTTAGAACACTGTATCACATGTTCAGATGAACAAAAATTGGCAACAACAGGTCAGGCATCATTGCAACACTCCACTGACCGAGCAATTCACATTTATATATGATTGAATAATCATTATCCCTTTGATTGACTAAGATTCAACATGAGAGTTACTGCAGTTTTTAAGGTCATGATTTAACTACCTACTGAGTGTATAAGGTGTACAATATTCAACGAATAAAGCTGAGAAAATGAATAATCCCGCGTGCAATGGTAAATAAAATGGTCGCCTTTTTGCAGTAAAGATATCGAAAATCTTGTTTTATTGAAAGGAGATCAAAGGAGTAACTTGTAAAAGTTCCTCTCATGCTGAATTATCCATTCAAAGATTTGTAACTGCTAGGATCCTCTCTTTGCAGCTTATCCAACGATGCACGTTTGAAGTCATCATTTTGCAAGTTCTATGGTCGATACAATTACTTTGTTAGTAAGCAAAATTATAGTGAAAAATGCATTATTTTTCAAATCAAAATCTTCATTCCTTTCTGGTGGATTTTTAAAACATAGGTACTAGTAATCAGAGATTACAGAGCTCACCTCAACGAATGTTGTCTTTAAGTAAGCAAAGTCACACAATTAACCAACAAAAAGTGTACATCCAAAAATGCACAATTTATGCAATTTTGATTTGATACTTTGGAATAGACCTATATAAAAACTTCAAACTAGTTCTTCATCATGAAATCGTAATTAAAATCCAGCATCTGAAGCAAGTTTGAGAGTTTTCAACCCTTGATGCATCATTTATGCAAGTTTGGTTTATATAAGCCTTAAAGTTTCTTGGTAATAGACCTGCACTCATAACTTTTACGAGGTCCATTATCTGGGAATGTATGTCGAATTCAGCATCTGAAGCAAGTCCATTAGTGTGCAACCTATGATGTATCATCCATGCAAGTTTGCTCAACATAGAGCTCAAAGTTACTTGGAAATGAATCCTGCACCAAACACTTAACCTGTTCACTCGTCCAGAAAATGTAGGTCAGATTCAGCATCCGAAGCAAGTCTGGTAGCACATCCTAAGATGTACCATCCATGCAAGTTTGGTCATTATAGGTCTCATAGTAACTTGGAAATGAAACCTGCACCAAAAACTTTAACCTGTTCACTCAACCGGAAATGTAGGTCAGATTCAGCATCCGAAGCAAGTCTGGTAGCATTCATCCTAAGATGTACCATCCATGCAAGTTTGGTCAACATAGGGCTCATAGTTACTCGGAAATGAGACCTACACCAAAAACTGCACCAAAAATGTTAACCTGGTCATTCCTTTGCTGAAACTGCAGCATCTGAAACTTTGACTGGTACAATGAAACACACTAGAAACATCTTCCATGCATGTCTAATCAATATATGACATAGAAGTACTTAAAAAGAAAACTGCTCCAAAAAACTTAACCTTAACCTGGGACGCCGACGCCGAGGGTATTACATAAGCTCCCCCAACTTCGTTGAGGTGAGCTAAAAAACAAACTAAATGCATACTGAGTAGTTATTGAAAGCAAGAGTGCTTCTTCCAAAGTTATGAATTTCATGCCCCTGGGTCGGAGGTTCTAATATTAAGACAGGGTTGTATTAATAATTTAGTAAAAATACTTTTATTCTTTGAAGTTCCTCTTCCCTGTTCCAGGCTACCTAGCATTCAGCGGAAAAACAAAATGCATAGTTTATGATAATGATCACTACAAATGGCCATGTAGCGTTAGGTCTTTGTCACGAGCTTTTTGCTCAGAAAAGCTAAATGAATAAAAGTAAGACATATTTATCTTAAATATATACATGCAATGTCATTTAAAAACCAAAAAAGGCCAATCTGTGATAGGGTTTGTGCTGAGTGTACTTAAGAAAATTTTGTTTTATACATTTAAGGTACCATTGAAAGGTTTAATGATAGTACATGGACGGAATGTAGCACTGCATATACAGGGGGGTTTCTGGCAAGTTTCTGAGTTGTTGCTGATTACCAAACTAACTATATAGTGCCGAGCCCTGGCCATTCTTTTTCTCTGTATTATCCCCCCCCGCTTGAAAAGCGGGAGGGTATATAGTAATCGGTATGTCCGTCCGTCCGTCCGTCTGTCTGTTACAGTTTAGTGTACCCATCTCTTATCCGCAACTCCTCTCAGACCACTGAATGAAATTTGACGAAACTTTCACAGAATCTTGACATTGTGCACCTCCTATTTTACTTTTTGATCCGACACATATTTTGGGTTTTCCACAGCAAAACATGGACACTATCATTTATTGAGCTCATTGCTCAAAGTACCTCTAGTTTATTAATAACCATTCCAACCCAGTACTACATCCTTTGATTTACTAGGTGTTAAGTTTTCTGTTGATTTACATGAGATGGTAGATATTAATTACAAATTAAAAATTGAAGAAATTAAGAAAAACATGTCACAATGGAAAGCTCGCAAACTTACTCCTCTTGGAAGACTGACTGTAATAAAAACATTACTAATTCCTAAACTAAATCATCTTGTACTCACTTTACCAAATCCTAACGATGATGTCATGAGTGCTTTTGAAAAAGACTTGTATAATTTTCTATGGAATAATAAAAATCATAAAGTCAAGAAAAATGTAATGATTCAATAGCATAAATTTGGGGGCTTAAAAATGAAAGAACTATTCCATAAATTCTTTCCAAGTTAAATTATACTCAGGTGACTTGGCCTCTCTTTTACATATGCATTTTGGTCATCCTCAACTATAAATACTATTTACATGTATATAGTAAGTTTGAAATATAATGGGATATAAAATGGATGTGGTGAGGTCGGAAAAAAATAATAACAGCCAATCCATCATATTTACTCAGAAGATTACAGGTGAAACATTTAAATGAAATCAAAAGAGCTTGAAAGAGATATGGTTTAATTTGGGGTTTATTTTCATAAGTTTTTGGGAAAATGTGTTTCTCTGATATTCCAAAAGTATGTTATTACATTTCAGTTAAAACACACTGAGGACAATTTGAATTGAAGCCCCTTATTATCTTAAAATATACAGATATAGCCATAACATTCCAAAATTAGGTCACAGTGACCTATTTTTGGTAAACATACTCCGAGACCCCAAAATGCCACAAATACTAGTAACAAATTTGATGATTTAAAGCCATTAGTATCTCAAATATTTCGAAATACCCGTAAAATTTCAAAAATATGTCATATAGTGACCTTCTTTTCAGTTGATACACTCCAAAGACCCAAGATACATCAACTGACAAATTTTGATGATTCTAAACCAATAAGCATCTGAAATATTAATATATCGTATCATTCCAAAAGTAGGTCAAGTCAAATAACTTTTCAGTGGTCTACAGTCGACTCACTCTTAGGACCCAAGATCATGAACTGACAAAGTTTTGATGATTCTAAGCCAAATAGAATCTGTAATATTAAAATATCATAGTAAAATTCCAAACGTATGTCAAGGTGACTTACTTTTCAGATGATGTACTCAAAGGACCCAAGATACACCAACTGACAAAGTTTGATGTTTATAAGCTAACTAGTACCTGAAAATATTAAAATATAGCTTGAAATTTTCAAAAAAGGTTACGTTGATCTAATCTTAAGCTGACATTCTAAAAAGACCCAAGATGAGTGAAATGAAAAAAAATTGATGATTTTACGTCAATAGTTCCAGAAATAATTAAATATAGCTGTACATTTAACAAAAGAAGTCAAATTGATCTATACTTTTCAGTTGATGTACTCTGAGGACCCATGATGCATCAACTTTCAAAGTTTAACGATTCTAAGCCAATTAGTACTTGAAATATTAGGAAAACATACATTTTTAAAAGTTGGTCACTGTGACCTCCTTTTAATTGACAAATTAAAAGACCTAAAAATGCCTCAACTGACAAAGTGTGATGATTCAAAGCCAATTAGTATCTCCAATACTTTAATCTATTCTTAATATTATATTAAAATATATCTTCAAAAATTTCAAAAGTAGGTCATGCATAGTGACCTTCTTTTCAGTTGACACACTCTGGGGACCCTAGATGCAACAGCTGCCAAAATTTGAGGATTCTAAGCCAAAGGGCATCAGAAATATCAAAATATAATATAAACTTAAATTTAAGTAGGACACGGTAACCTACTTTTCAGTTAACACATTCTGAGGACCAAGGATACATGAACTGACAAAGTTTGATGTTTTCGGAGCCAATGAGTGCCTGAAATATTTATATGATAGCCATAAAATTTTAATTCAGTGACCTTCTTTTTAGCTGTACTCATATTTAACTAAACTATCTAAAACATCTGTGAAGTAAATTTGATGTACGCAAGTTACAAGTTCACAGTAAACAGAGTTTTGGATGAATATGACATATTGGATAAAAAAAAAATTAATATTAATACACCACCTTTTCATTTTGCAATTTTATTCAGTTTTTATAAAAGATATTAACAATATAAACTGAAAACAGTATTTATAAATTTAAATAAATATATAAAAATGAAGCTTCTTAATTAATTTGTTTCTATAACAGTGGAGTATTTAGATAATTTAGAAAATTTAACTAAGTTGACATAATTTAACAGAAAAAAAATGAACCATGTAAAAAAGCTTGATAATATAGTAATAAAATCATAAGAAACATTGTTTTCTCTTCCATCTAACAATCAATCTGTCAAATTATAGTATGTAAAAAATAGAAATACTTAAGATACCTAAGAAGATTTTGTGATCCAGACCTTTTTTCAACATGCCTCCACCCCACCCCATACATAACCTTTCTAAACTTTTTTTTACAGTTCACCTCTGTTCCCAGCTCTTTCATGTAAATACTTTCAAAAAAAAAAATAAA